AAATAAACTAAATCTATGATATCCACTACTTTCATCAAAATAGGGCTAATCCCAACTTATACCTGAAAGATTACTCAAATCTCAATTTACATCTTTAAAGCTTAAAAATATTAATTTACACCCAAAAAAAATAAATTCGTATCAATGTACAACTGAGGTCATCTGCTATCTATTTTGCAGTTAAAAAAATTTAGATTAATTATAAATTTCACCCTTAAAATTTAAATATTTCATATTTATGATTTAAAAACAATTGATAACTTGTTAAGTACATCTCAATTGTGTCGTACTGTATTATTTTGTGTCATGGGACATACACTTGCCTATAGGTTAGGTTGTGATAGATTTCTAGTTGATGATGAAGGCCCTAGGTACTAATTTGTACGCCCTCAAGCTCTATCTAGTGCCGTGCCTTGATTAATATCTGGACAAAAACACGAAAAAACATATGAAACAAATCCAAAAATAAAACAATCAAAGAAAAATTAACAAGTGAGTTAGGTTAGCAAGAAACATGAATTACCCCTTTTACTACTATGAAAATAAATTGTGACAATTAACTTATCTTATTGTAAATTTATAAAACATTTTCTTGAGATCTCGAAAAGATAAAAATAAGAGCGGACAAGTAAATTTTTTTGTTGTGAATTTATATATATATAATTCTTTTTTATAGTTACGACATATTCAAATAGTAGAGATTTACGAAGAAGTATTGCGCTATTTACCATCAAGTGGTACTTCTCGATTTGTAATCCAATACACAAATGACAAATTGATTGGTTCTGTGCATTTTTTTTTTTTAAGCTTTTGGATTTTTCATTCCTATTTCGTCAAATGAGGCTAATTTTTATTAGAAAAAAAATTATAATAAAATTGAACTTTCATTATATTTATATTCTTGGGACCAACTTTTTTGGATTATTANACAAACTCAAATAGTACTTTCAACATTGAATGGGCATGAAAAAGTTGACTATATTTCTTTATTTTTTAAGTTGCTCTTTCTGGGAATGTTAATCAATATGAGTTATTCGAGCTCGACTTAAATAAGACTTGGTTCAAGCTCGACTCGTGTTCTAAATGAGTCGAGCTTGAACAATTTTTTAGACTCCTTTAAAAAAATGAGTCTAAAAAACTCGGCTCTGTGTCCATAAAATTATGTTCTTTCATATGTAAAATAGTCAAGTTATTCGAACTTTGCTTGAGTTCGGTCTTAACTTAGGTTCAACTCATTTTTTAAATAAGTTGAAAATTGATCAATTTTTTTAAATTTGTTTAAAAAAATGAGTTTAACAGGTTCGAACTCAAATTTTTAAAATTCGACTCGATTAACACTTTTAGTTCTATTGACGCTCAAGGTCCCTATTGAAAAATTGACGAATTTTGGTTGAAAATTAATATGTGTTTTTGTTTTTTTTTTTTTCTTTCAAAATCTTAAAATTATTTGTAAATCATTATTAAAATATTCTACAATTTGTTGGAATTGAAGGTTCCAAACAGGAGAAAGCAGAACCGCCCCTCCTTATCCTTGGGTTCACTTGTTTTGTGCACTTTCTGGCGTGGAATAACACGCAATGCGACGAACCAACACAAAAAAAAAAGTACGTGGCCCACAGGCGCAAAGCCATTTTTTAAAACCACAACAATCCAAATCCCAATCCAAAGTTGTAGAATCCAATCCAGCATATTCCTCCGAATGTACCCTTTGTCCTTCCTCATGGCTCTAGTAGGAAGTACAAACACATAATAATAATAATATTGTTGAAAATTTTTAAAAAAATAAGAAAGAAGAAAATCTTTAGGTCGACATGAAATTTCATCACTGATCACAAGATACATGTGGCTTGAAAAGTTCGGTGATCTTTGGTTATACATTTGACGGGGTGCGTATTGAAGAATTCAAATGTTATGGGAAAAAATGAATTTTGTTTGATAAGATCATTAGAAAATGTTGCTGGAGATGCAATAGTCATAAAGATTAAATACTTCTTGCTAATTGATGAATACATTTGTCAAGCTAATACTTAACTTCCCTGCTTTGTAATAGAATTTTTGTCACCAGCATTTACGCGTATTGAATGAATGGGTCTTACTATCAATTCAATTAGACGTGCCAATTTTTTTAATATTAGAAGTATTGTTGGTGAAACTTAAACATTTCAATTTACGAGTTGTACTATTTGATGTCTTGAGTTTGAATATTAGTAATCTCGTGGATCAATATAATGAGAGATTTATTTTTTTATGAATATCTTAATTTCCGTGTGGATAGTTTGTCTCTTATTGAATAAATTAAGGTGAGTGTAGGGTGCAATTCGGGTAGATTGGGTGGCTTGAGGGGTCAATCTCAACCCGAGATAGTTAATCTGAGTATTATCTAAGTTTAATTCGATCGGATTCGAATTACATAAATTTCAGGTTATAATTTGAGTTGGGTTCGGGTCACGTAATTTAGGCTGATTTCGAATTAGAATTCGCATTGGGTTTATTCAAGCCCGAAATCAGTCCGTTATTATAAAACTAGTACATACTACATAGTGTTCACCTAAAGTAACAATCAGTTACTTCAATCAAATGTTTAATATAAAGACCATAATATTTAAAGTATAAAAATTAATGTTTAACATAAAAACATAAATAGCCAAATGTTTAACATAAGATTGAACCATAATACTGATTTCTAGTATTTTAACTTGTAAGTTATATTGCTATATTGATTTATATGTCTATTTCTAAATATGTTTGAGTTGAGTCTAATTTAGAATTCGGGTTGAACTCGATCATATGAGGTCACAACCCGGGTACTGCCCAATTTCAATTTGAGACCTAGCCTAAGTATCAAGAATTTCAAACCAAGTCTTGTTTTTCTAAGATTGGATTTAGGTTGGTCCGCCTAAGTTGCACTCTTAAGTGCACATAGGCCGAGGCTTGAACACCCCCAGACTGAACAAAAACAAAAAACTTAAAAATTTCTTAAAAGTTCAATAATAAATTTGATCACTAATATTTGGCACAACAAATGAATGTAATTAACGTTGGGGTTAAGCTTATATATCTCATGATTAAATGATCTATTTTTGACTAAATGAAAAAAAAATTATATTGAAGTGCTGGTAAATTAGTACGGACAGCTATGACAGTAATATAAAAATAAAATAAAATAAATAAATGAATGTTGTTAACATTTGACTGTGATGGATGAGAGTACATGATTTGAGTAGAATAGTATTATTGGGTATTATTATATTTCTTAAAACGAATGGTTGTGGTTTGTGTTCGCCAAGATTGAGTCATGCGAGCGTAGGTGGTGAGTCAGCACAGTAAAGAGCCCTTCTTTACTGGACAAAGAGGAGGCAAGTGCGCAAGAACACGCTTTCTTTGAGGAGACCAAAGTGCAAGTTTGTGGCTTAAGTAGGTCGAACGCCATTCATCGTTAAATTAAAAAATAAATAAAACATAAGTTTGCTGGATCGGATTTGAATCGGATTACACTTCGATTCAAAATTTATGAATATAATTTTTTCGCCGATAGTGTAACGAAATTGTAAAAAGTTTTATAGTTAATGTAATAGTAAATATATGGTATAATGATAATATACAATTTTACTAGATTTTATGTTAGTACAATCATTAAAAATAAACAAATTCATAAATAACAAACCTCAAGTTAAATATCAAACACTCTTTTATGGTGTAATTAACACATAAATAAATTCTAAATAAATTTAATTCAAATCTAAATAACTCTAATACTCCGTTTAGTACGATGAAAAAATTAGAAAAAGTAAAAAGGATGAGAAAATAGATGAATTAACTTTCCTTCTAATTCACCAAAATCGAAAGAAAAGTATATAGAAAGTTAATTATTTGTGTTGAGATATATCTTATTTGTCTATATATCTTTTTATATATACATATATTATGTATATATTAATTTCATATATAAAATTTTATTTTTTTATATTTTTTTAAAAAATAAAAATTTTAAATTAAAAAAATATTTTTTTTCATCTTAACTAAGGGTAAAAATTTTCGACTTAACACGATAATACAACTCGAACTCGATACGAAAATAAACATGTCAACTCGCAACTTGACACGACACGACACGACACGACACAATTAGTTAAATGAGTTAAGTTAGATTTAACTAGTATTCGACCAAAACTCGTAATGACTTAACACAAATCTGATACGACACGACTCAATTGTCACTCTTAATCATAGCCAACATAAAAAAAAAAATAGTCATTTTTATTTTCTCTCTATTCAACTAAACACAAAGGAAGAAAAATGTATCATTCCTACTTTTTATCCTTGAAGGATAGAAAGTGTATCCTTTCTATTTTTCATCCTCACTACCAAACGGAGCAAACTTATCAAAAGACCATTCAATTTTATAAAAATCAACAAATAAAATAATGTTCAAATTACAAACCTAGAAGTGGAAGAAAAACAAAAACTTAGGGGGTCTAATTATAATTTCTTCCTAAAAATCAAATCTAAACTCATTGCCTTGTGCTAGGCTTCCAAATCCACCCTAGTTTCACACCAAGTAATCATTATTGTAATGGAAATTTGTTTCGTACAAGGTGAATTAGAAAAACGCTATGAAATTTTTTTAGGGTAATTTAATGATTGATTATAATTTTTAATAATGTAGAGGTCTTATATTCAATTATTTTTTTATATTTTTTAAGAATTAATTATATTCTTATCCTTTTAAAGATATGTTTTAATCCAACTCAATTTACGGTAATCACCCTCGAGAGAACCGTCATTATAAGTCTGGACGACACCTTATAGCTAGAAAAACACCTTATTTAAAAAAAAAAAAGGGACCTTAAGACGCGTGATCAACAAGCGTATAAAAAACAGCGTGGACCGTGATAGCCACCACGCCTTCATTGTAAAACAACTCGTAATTTCGTCTTTCTATTGAATCAAAACATTCAGCCCTGTTGCTTGCCGCACGTCACTCTCTTTTATATCTTTGACTCTCTCTCTCTCTCTCTCTCTCTCTCTCACACTCCCGTGTGTGTATACAAAGACGTATATACCATGATAGCCACCACGCCCACCGCGTACTTTAACCACCAGGCTCAGCGCCACCAGACTCTATAAATAACTGTCAAAACCAAAAGGTCCTCCTAGTATCTGAATCTCCAACTCCTCCTAGTCTTTTTTCTCTCTCCTCGATCTCTTTTTCACTTCGCTATCATGAAGCTAGAAGAAGTCCATCAAGACCACATTTGCAGAACCATCGAAGTGGCCGTCGTCGAGCCAACAAAAGTTTCACCGGCGGTAAAGCTTCCTCCCACCGCCGATGACTCGGAGACTAACGGGGAAGAGCTATATATACCGCCTCTCAACTTCGCAATGGTCGATAATGGCATTTTCAGGTCTGGCTTCCCGGACTGCGCTAACTTCCCGTTCTTACAAACCCTCGGCCTCCGTTCCATCATGTAAGTGAATTTATGCGTAGTATTTGTGTTCCTGATTGCTGAAGCTCTGAAGTTTGAGTTCATAGGTGACAATTTTAGGGTTTTGGTGTGTGCCGCTTTTGATTTTCAGATATCTGTGTCCGGAACCATATCCGGATACGAATATGGAGTTTCTCAAGTCCAATGGGATTGAGTTATTTCAGTTTGGGATCGAACCGTGTAAGGTAAATTTTTTACGTTTGTTTGAATTTCCGTTTCACTTTTGATAGTGTATTGGTTTTGTGTTTATTTAATGAGTTTGATTTTGTTTTGTTAAGCAATTGTATTGTGTATTCGATTTGATTCGATTTGGTTGAGAAATTTGAGATCTGAATCTGTTGTGGGTATTCGAGTGCTTACCAATAATGTGTTTCTCACTTTAATCCCGTGAAGCCGAGTTGAGACTTAAAACAACATAACAGTTCCCTGATTTTAGGGACACTACGTTTGTTACTAGTAGGAGAAGCAAATGAAAGACTGTGGATGCAAATGGTTTTAGGAAAAATGGATTCTCAAGCGTCAGTTCCTGTTAAGGATTAGTTTTCTAGTGTCAATTTTGCCTTTAATTGTTAGTTGAAAATTAATATGTTTACGGATTTGCAATGCTCTTTCCTAATTAACCTTTTTTTTGAGTCTTTAATGCATCTACATCCGTACCTATAGTTTATTAGGTGTTAACAATCAAAATTGTGATCATATACATCATTTAAGAGTTTCTAATACGTCGTTTTTATAGTTTATTGACAATGAAAGTGTGATTGTAAACATCATCTTATATATAAAGAAACATATGTAATTCTACTACATGCCATTGATTCTGCAATATACGGGGAGAAGAATTTTCAAATTTGATACAAGAAAACATGGCTATGCAAAAGGCTCACTTCTAGATAATAATATCATTGATCCAAGGTAGATTCTTTTTATCACACATAGGTACGAGTAATTTTTTTTTCTTTTTCTGGTGGGTGAATTGTCTAAATTAATCCGTCTCAATGCATTTTGTGCTTTCCAATCTAAAGGATATGATGTTTATTTTGTCAAATGGCAAACTTTGGTATTTCATTTTATGCAGTTGATGACTTGAGGTCCTTATTTTGTACCCTACCTATAGTGTATGAGCCCAAAGCCCATTGTGAATGCTATATAAAGGTGAAAGGAAACAAGTTGGTGCTTTTTCTGTTATTTCTAAGAATCTAAAAGCAGGTTACAGTTAGAGCGACACTTCACTTTATATTATTTTTCAATATTGTTAGGCTGTCTACTTTTTGAGAACTGAGTATCTTTGATTCTTGATAAATTAGGTTGGGGTAAAATCGGGGTATGGCACAAATTTGTGTGGTGTCTAGTGTCTACAAGAAGTGCTTACATTTAATATAAGGGTTGCTAAATTATGATGACAGCCTTAGCTCCTGGTGTTGATTTTGACAAAGAATTTTACTTAAGTTTGATATGGCACCCTTTTTTTTGGCTGCTTCACCTATTCTCAGTCCAACTTTAATGGCCAGTATTGATGGACTCGCTGGGCTGGTATATTTTTCAAAAACAATAGCAGTCATTTGTTATTTGCCCAGTACATTTGGTGCAAGAAGATCATGGACACAAATCTGTCGTACAAAACATTTTGGAAGATAACTAGCATAGATATTCTGATATGATATTAACACCGTTGTTGATTAGGCCAAACATATAGTTTGAGGTGGCCAAAAGTTTAATTTACCTGCATGCATACGCCTATGCAACTGCCAGCAAGTCGATGATGACAAAATTTCAATCACAACAACCTGACAAATAACAAACCCAGGGATCCGGGAGAACTATTGTGAGCTTGCAGCTCCAGTGACATATTTAGATCGATTGTTATCCGGCTTTTGAATTATCTGGTATTAGTTAAAAGTCTCCATTTCTGAAGGATGGTAGGTAGTGCTATATAAGTGAGCTAGGCTGGTACAATTTTAGCTGTGTGCAATGTACATGATTGCTTGAATTTTGAAACATGTTTGTCATATGAAATGATACTTTAATCATATTAATCATTGTCTGGAATTTTGTACCCAGGAACCTTTTGTAAATATTCCAGAGGGCACAATTCGCAAAGCACTAAAAGTTGTCCTTGGTATTTATTTCTTAATGCTTATATTGTTTAATTTTTTGAAATAGTGGGTCTGAGCTTTGCTTATATTTAATCTTACCTCTCTAGTCTCTGTGTCACAGATGTAAAGAATCATCCACTGCTAATCCATTGCAAACGAGGAAAGGTACATGCCATATTAGTTTTCTTGTAGCCTCATTTCAACGCTTCTACTATCAAGAATTAACTTTTATGAGGGTATTTATTGTTAGTTTGTTGTGCAGCACCGAACTGGTTGTCTAGTGGGATGCTTAAGAAAATTGCAGAGATGGTGCCTAACTTCTGTTTTTGACGAGTACCAGTGCTTTGCAGCGGCCAAAGCTAGAGTTTCGGATCAGAGGTTTATGGAATTGTTTGATGTGTCAAGCTTCAGGCATCTGCCCTTGTCATTTTCATGTTCAAAGAGGTAAACAACAAAAAAATTACAAGACTTTTGCTTCCTTGATTATTATTGAAGAAGTGGATCGTAGTTCCTGATTTGGAAACTGGAAAAGGCCATGATTTCATGGAACACATTTCAGCAGCAGCGAAGGAATGATCTTTCTTTTTCCTTCTAAGCTAATAGAAATGCATTTATCATAATCTCCGCTTTATTCCCTTTCATTTGCTTAGCAGCTTCTATCTATGCTTGTTAAATAAAAACGGATCCTCTAGCTATATTTGGATTCATTGTAAATTTCACAACATGGCTAACAGCATTTAGTCAAATGATGAAATTAAAATTATGTTTGTGATTCATATCAGGATTGGAGCTCGTTTTCTCCGTCCCAGTTCTTCCTGCCAACAACGATTATATAAAGAAGGCAGCTAGAAAAGCTTTCTTTTCTTTTTCTTTTTTTAAATACCTTGAATCCTGCCCGGTTCTTTTTAGAATTTTCATGTAGCAATATGTATTACACTTCCTGTATCAACAAACTTGCTAAATTATGGAATTCTGGAAGCCATATTATATCTTATATTGGAATAATGTGGTAACACCAAAGAAGAGGTCTGATTTTTCTCCATTGTAGTTACTGTAAGGACCTCGAAGAATTTATCAAATTTAATTGATTTGAGAGCATTCACCAGCTTTGTTTCAATTGAAGAATGGCATTCTTATGTATCTCTGCGTTGCGTCATTTAAATGGAGAAAATTGATTAGCAAACATGTCTTAATGATTTGATGGAGAAAGTGAGCATATAAAGATTGTTCGCAATTATATGTGTTGTTTGCTACTTAACCAATAAGCTTGCGGGGAGAAATAGTCATTCTCTCTCGTACTTGTTAACATTAAATGTCTAAAGGACATGGATTTTAATGTAAGTGGGTTCATATTCAGGCATTTGATCTACCACTGCGTTGGTGGTCCAGTGCCCCATTTAGGGTATTTCCTGACTCCTATGAGATTAACAAGCAAGACTCTCGATACACGGGGACTCCTGTTGCTCCCATTGACAACTCTGTGGTGCGGGGGTTGTTCTATGGCTTGAGTTTGTCTTTGGGAGCTGCTGTAATTTTCCGCCATCTAGACTCTATTGATGGACTTCTCTCATGGGTTTGGACTATTATGGTCACGCACTGACAATAGTTTCACCCCAATTGTTCGCTCGAACTTCTTTTTCCCTCCCCCCTAAACCAAAAAAAAACGATGGCAGATTTAATCTGATAAAGGCTGTGCCTTGTTTCCACAACAAAAGGTTTTGTATCGTACAATAATGCTCAAATATAGTGGTGCTTCTGGCGAAACATTTATAACCTTGGAAATGAAGGAAAACGAGACGGTGTTGAAAACATATAGAAGAACAGTTCAAAAACTTTAAGGCCTGTTTAGTTTGCGATTCAGAAAATAGTATTCGAAAACAGTTTTTAAGAAGAGTTATAAGAAAGTGGTTTTGATATTTTTTGAGATAAAAAATTTGTTTGGTTAGATGATTTCAAAAACAGTTTTACAATACATAAAATAGTAAAACCTGTTTGGACAACTTAAATATATATTTGAACAGTAATTCAAATATTAATAAAAAAATATAAAAAAATTATTTTTATATTGACAGTTTCATAATATATATATATTCATATCTGAAAATCCAAAATTGTTTTTCTTGTTTCTAAAATTTTCAAAGAAAACTCTGTAAACAAGTTACACTTGTTTTTTGTTTTTTTGACTCAAATCTCATTTTTTCTCAAAATATATTAAAAAAAAATGTTTAACAAATAAGTTTTGGGTATTTTTAAAATTTTGAGAACAAAAAATTATTTTCGGACCACAAAGCGAACATGGCCTAAATTATTGTTGGAATGCTCAAATGCTATGGGTTGAACTTTTTTTTATCCATCAGTTCGACATGAAAAAGGGCAATCTCATAGTTAAAAATATAGGGATAATGTCATTTTGTACCTCAAAAGATTTATGTTTTTTTATTTTATACCTTCAAAGATTAGATTTCTCACGTTGTACTCTCAATGTATAAAAAATATTACAATATGACCCTTCTGTTAGTTTCTGTTACTTATTTTGTCAAAAAACACCTCATTGATATTGACAATATGAGTAATAAAAACCAATAGAAGGGTCAAATTAAAACTCTTTTAAAGTTTTGAGGGTTCAAATTATAAAAAATTTAATCTTTGAGAATATAAAAAAAATTTTAAAATTTTTCTGAGTGTAAAATATAATTCGCACTTCGGGTTCTAACATGTCATGTACTCAAATATAAACAAAATTATCGTCAAGGGTAAAAGTATGATTTGGCTTCACTTGGTTATACTACAATTGTACATCATAGTGTTTCCACAAACATCGGTGGTTTTACTATATCTATCAAATTTGATCATTTATGAATTGAATAAAGAGTAGTCTAATGCAATGTCATTTATGAATTAAATAAAGAGTAGTCTAATGTAAGAGACTCTTGCCATGGGTTCCTAGCTCATTTGTAAGTTCTTAACCCATTTTCCCAACAAGAAAAGATTTGGATAAAGGATTTGTAATTTTTTTCTTTCATTGCGGAGGGGGAGGAGGGAGAGGGGACTTGAACTATTGGCCTAAAAAAGACGAAACTTTCACAAGGTGAGGTAGCATATATGTTTGCAATTACATAGCCTCAATAAGCATGTCTATTGGATTTATATGGAGCTAGTTTAAATATGTAATTTTTAAGAGTTTTAGAGTACAAAAAGCCCATTTAGACCTTGGCTTTTTTATCAATTTATCCAGCAATTTTTTAGACCTAAAAATGTTTATTTAGACTGATTCATGAAGTTGATTTTATGAGTTTTTTTTCTGGTTTTTTAGAATTTTTTCATTGGTCCCACATTAATTTTTAGTTTATTATATTCATAAAATATTATTAGTGACTTAAAAAAAAATTAAAATTTATATTTTGGAAACTATTATGTATAATCTATACATATATACAATTTTTTTTTTTTTATTTTGAGACAAAAAAGCTAAAAAACTAGAAAGTCACCCCAAATGAACCTTTCTAACTTATTTACCTTTTTAAAAAATACCCCAAACGATTTTAAGAGATTTCTTTAATTATAAATTTTTTGCAAAACTTTTCAAATCGTAACTATTTACCTAAAAAAATTGACTCCAAAGATACCCATTGTCCCTCTCCAAAAATATAATTGCTTGAATGTGGTGACATCAATCACTCTTAACAAAAAATCTTTGACTATTATAGTTCTTCATGTGAGCTTCCTTGCAATATCCTCTCTCTATAAATACTTTTCTTGCATGTAAAGTAAAGGAGAAAGATGACAGTAATGGAGTGCTTTACATTAATTTGCTATCAAAGTAGGCCTATCTTTTTGCAACCGTCCCCCTAAACCTAATCCACTAATTAAAAGTGTGTTTATTTTAATTGACCATATTTTTCTTTTTGTGATTGTCTTTGCAGCATTGAACTTTCTGATAAATTTCAAGGTGGGCTTAGAACTTGGAAGTAAGGAAAAGGTTTCATCTTTCATCTATATAAATATTTATTCAGTTATCCACCTAAAAAGTTGAATGTTGAGGTCGAGATTAAGACGTTGTGGGTTATATCGTCATCTTGTAGTCGATAGTTAAAGCTGTTAATTAAACTGAGTTACTTGATCTTGGCTTGAGTTCGGTTCGTTTTCTAAATGAGCCTGAACTTGAACAAGTTTTTAGACTCGTTTAGAAAATAAGCCTTACAAACTCGATAAACTCGACTTGTTTATGTGCAAATACTTAAACTCAATTTATTTTTGGCTCGTTTAGGTTCAGCTCGTTTCTTAAACGAGCCGAACTTGATCAATTTTTTAGATTCGATTAAGAACACAAACTTTTCAAGCTCGACTCGGGCTCAATATTAAGGTGGAGATTAAGATTATTGGCTTAATATTATCTTTTTCCTCGTGGGTTATATCGTCATCTTGTAGTCGGCAGTGCCATTTTCCCTAAGCAAGTAAAAAAAAAGGTTTGATCTTTAATTTATACTATATTTATTTAGTTATCCACCTAAAAAGTTGAATGTTAAGGTGGAGATTAAAGATTATTGACCTAATAGTATCTTTTTCGTCATCTTGTTGTTGGCAGTGCCATTTTCAATGATTTTTTTTTTTATATATTCCTTGAGTTTTCTTTTTATTTTGCTACTTTATTTGGTCTTTAGTCAACTAGTGGTAGAAATTGCTATGACATCCTTCTTTTCTTTTTGAACAAGAGTTTAAAAATTTATTAACTTTAGTAGGCAATGGTCCCAGAAAATTACAGGTTCTTGGTGTAATGTATTGCAAGGTTGTGATTCCAGAAAATTACATCCATTGCCAAAATGGTCCTGGTGTGATGTACTACAAGGTGTTTCATGCACTTTGTAATCCATTTACCTTAGTCTAGCGTTGGCAAAACAATGGACGGGTTGGACGAGTTATTGATGACTTAATAACGGTTCAAGTATAATTCAATTCTATTTCTTTTTCCACCCGATTGATAAATGGGCGTTAAACCACTTTGGGTTACAGTGAAGAAATCGCAACCTATAAACCATGAACAATATAAACATGCACCATTGTCAGCTATCATCGCTTCAGGTAAGGTTAGTTTGTTATGCACTCGTTTCCAATTATTATTAACCCGCTTGTTTAATTGGAATAATATTATTCAATCTGTTTATGACCAGTAAAAATAAAATAATTATCAAACCCGCTAATTTGTAAACGAGTTGGATCGGGTTGGTGGGTTAAAGGTTAGGATTGCCACCCTACCTTAATCCAGTCCCACTAATTCTTAACCAATGCCACCCGCTGGGTTATGATAAAATCATGAGTACTCTATCAGTGAGAACCGATTCAATTAAAGCACATAGAGGCTCTTACATATGTTAATAGCTGAACTTTGATTTGGTTAACAATTACACTCGGCTATCTATTTCTACCAAAAAAAAAAAAAATTCATTGCAATCACTGAATCACATGTCAACTTGTGGTTACAACGCAAACTCTCGATATACACAATTACTTGCAAATTAGGGCATGACTATATCAAGACACACACATTCTCCCTCTGTCTTGTTCGTAAAAGTTGAATTGGAACCTTTGTCATCCAAGCTCACTAACGGGTTTAGTCAAAATCAAGTGACAATGAGTCGAAAGGTCTACTTGGTCGATTTACTAGTTTGAAAGATATTATTTTATCAACGTAAGAAACGGTTTAACGTATTTATCGTCGTGCAAATTAGAGAACAAGTTGAAATATCTCCATAAATCTTGCAAACAAGACTATTCTTCAAATTGTTTCACATAAAGCCTTTTGGATCCACCAAACAATTGAAAAAAGGAAAAATAATCTTGGGATCAGAACAGTAGACACATTTTTATTCATACCATAAAATTGTAACAGATATTCTTTTGGTAACTTACAACAAATAATAAGGACACTCATCTAGAGTAAGCTACTAAGCTATAATTCTCTAGAAACAAATCTTCAACAACCCCCCAACCACCCACCCACCAACATAGACATGACTCCATAAAATTAGAATTGACATTTAAGCAGTGGCAATTGGACCCAGATTAAGATCAGTTTCCCTGGTTTTCATGGCTTCAAATCTTGGCTCCTTGGCCTGAAACTTAAGGGTAGCATATAGCTTCATGTAGTCATCGAATAAGAATTTTGGGTACACTTGTTTGTGCTCCTCTGTTTCCTTCTCCACCAGTGTTGGTGCAGGGTAGATAACAGCATCATTACCTGGGTTGTAGAATGAAGCAATTGACATCCTGTTGCCATCTGTTTGAGCAATCACTCTGTGTAGCACACTCTTGTACTTACCATTTGTTATCACCTGTGTTTGATAAACGTTGTCCATTAGAAATCATGAACAAGGTCGTAAAATGATCCGAGCAGCTCGAGCTCAGCCTAGTTTTGACTCGTTCAAATCGTTATAAGAGCTGAATTTGCTCAAATTTTTAAGCTTATTTTGCAAACGAGCCCAAACCAAGTATTTGCTCGAGCTCAAGCTTGGTTAATCACAACCAAATCAATTCTAAACATGCTCATACTTGACATGTTCGACTCGAGTAACAACCCTAACAAAAGTTGGACCGCTAACCTAATACAACAGCTTGAATTGTGTAATAAGGATACCTCAATTTGGTCACCGAGGTTGATAACAATGGAATGGCGCATTGGTGGAACATCTACCCATTGGCCGTCCTTGAGGAGTTGGAGGCCACTGACCGTGTCATCTTGGAAGAGCAAGATGATGCCGCCGGCGTCGGTGTGGGCTCGCAGCCCTTTGATCAACTCCGGCTGGGGACATGGTGGGTAGTTGCTGACTTTGGTGCCAAAATTTGGACCCTTTGATCCATAAAAGGCCTTTTTCAGGTAACCTTTCTCTAGGCCAAGGTTCTCACAGAGCAAGTCAAGAAGCTCCTCTGCTAGTTTCTCCAATCTTGCTGCAAATTCTTTCATAATCTTCCTGCAACAATTGATAAGATGTGAAACATTGTTTGGAAATTGAAAAGTTGTGGGGGTGTTTTGTGTTCTTTTTCTTCTTTGGGTATTTTTTCGAGTGTAACTGCTGACTACCATGGTTTGAGCTGGTCTAGCGTATGTCTTCAAGGGGATAAGGGTGATTAGTTCTTATAAGGGTGATTAGTTCTTAGGGGTTGTAGAAAAGGATTAAACATCAAACCTCTGAATTAACCAAAGTCATCTTGCATATTATTTCATCGGAAAGGAGTGATGTGTAGCTTTTCATTCATAGGGAGACAAAATTGTTTTTTTTTTTCCTTAAACTACATGGGATGAGACATAATTAACCCAAAAAAAAAAAGAGTACCATCTACCCATCCATTGAGGTCAACTCTTACTTGAGATGGGATTTGGGCATTGACTGCCAAAATACTATATGTGCATACATAAATGTGTGTGTGTATATATATATATATATATTGTCCATGTGATAGTATATATATACTATATATGATCCATGTGAAGCATTATTATAATTATTTTATTTACCTATACTCATCATCTAGATCAGGGACTTCTGAGATGTTTGACTGAGGAAGATGGCGCAAGAAGAAGGTGCTTTCCCAATCCATATCAGTTACTTCTGCTTGGACACCCTCTAGAGCTTTGCTTGCCACTAGTTCCTTGAACCTCTGCTCCATACATTTCTTGTAGTGACCCTTCGTCAAACTTTCTACAGTGTCCATTAGCTTGTGTGGGATTCCATGGTTCACCAACTGCAGCAATATATATATGCAGTAAAACTCATTAGATCCATGCCACTAATTTATGTTGAGAACGACTACGATACCGAGTTTTGTACCATTTATGGCTCAATAGGAGTCAGATAAGACTAAAAAAGGTCTGTTACAATTTGAGATTCATGCTACATTAGAATTTCTCTCAGGTTTCTAGGATTGATTCCACCTATCGAATCATAATTTCGTTCAATGAAGTCATAACTCGTAACTACCAAGTACAGTATTAAAAATTATTATTCGGTCATTCCTATTGATGCGAGACACTTAGTAAGAAACATGTATGCAAAGTGAAACTAATTTTATGGTGGTACCTCAAAGAAACCCCAGTTCTCACAAGCATCTTTGATTGTCTCCATTGTAGCTCCTCTCTCTTCACCATTGAGCTTCTCCATGTTGATCACTGGGAAGTGTGCCATCTCTCTCAGTTTTTTTTTTTTGAACAGGACTCTCTCTCTCTCTTTCTCTCTATCTCGGAGTTAATCAACCTTTGTGCTTACTACATGGAGTTGGGGTATGAATTTATAGGAGAAGAAAGCAGCATTGGAGTGGGAAATAATTGTGTGGGGTTAAAGATGGGTTGGATATTTCATGACCCTACCATTACCATGCATGCCATGTTTGTTTGTTCAAACCTCAAAGTCCACCGCATGGACCAAGGGTCTTTGTGCCTTGTTGAACCATCTCTCCTCCTTCTCCACCTCCTAGTGGGTTTGGACCCACTTTTATCATAAATAGTATTCCCCACAACCTTGACCAGACCCTCCATCGGTGGCTGCTCCATTTTCATTATGTGCCACATTGAATTTTGTTTGGTTGCTTTGATAGCGACGTGTAAGAAGTTGCCTGGCTCTTTCACATCCCAAACAGCTGCAATACCCCTTGGGATCCATTGAAATTTCTTGGACATAATGATTGGTTTATATGTTAACCCTATTTAGTTAATTGGCTTCTATTTTACTGTTGTTGGTGTAGTTTAGGCAGGTCAATCTGTATCTAATCAAATCTAATGAAACATTAGTTTATTGTTTTAAATGAAATTTTCAGTGTTCGGGTTGTGATTAGACAAATACCAACTAATTAAAATTCAAAAAGAACAAAAGTAACCTAGTTGGAGGATTGACTTTTAGAGATCCAATTTGTACCAAAATTACATCTCGTAAAAATTTATGATCGATTATAGAATTTTCTCAATTAACGATATCTTCTTCTTTTAAAACTAAAATTTTATAATTAAAAATAATAATTTTTAATACGGTATCTGCAATTATATACAGGATAGGAAGGTACTTGTCTAAGTATACGAGGGTGCATAACTTTGGCCTACATAGTGGGGGACTAAAAAAATGCAATAAATGCGAAAGGAGACTATTTGTCCTCACTTACCAACCAATGGCTAGACGTTAAAGAGGAGTGCCGAGTCAGTGATGGCTGAGGGTCTAGCATATTATCCCCAACATTCTTTGTTGGCCTTTTACTTTTAGCCTTTGATTAATCATACTAGATCGGATTCCAATTATATAAGGCCTTATTTGAATTCGGTTCGTGTTCTGATAAATAAATCGAGTTTGAATAATTTTTTAAATTTGTTTAGAAAAACGAACTCGACAAATTCAACTCAAACTCGTAAAATTCAACTCAATTATCCGTACTTAGCAGTCATATGACAAAATCTAATAGTTATTCCTATCCTTCATTGTACGGTCACAAACCCAATAAAGATAGGATAGGAATGTAATTGCAGTAAGAGTCTCCCGAGTTGTCAAAAAGTTCGAAATAAATAAGTGGGCCTTGTGCTTGTAGGAGTACCTACAACTGTGGGGACCTTGAAAGGGTTACTAGATTCACTTGCACATATGCATTATTTCCCATTAGGACTTGGTGGAAGGTAATATTATAATTGTAACATATAAGTTTGATACCTTTATATGTCATTTAAATATTGTATGAAAGATCTTAAACTATATATTGGATAAAAGTCATGGATTACGGTTAGTTATATAAATTCAACTAGCGATTGTCATATGTGATACACAAAATTCATAATTTTAAGTAATTCAGTCAAGTCGCCTCCTCGAAGTGGTTTGCCAACCACTCTTACCATCCCTCAAAATAATGCTCCTCACCAAATGCCCTTATTTGGGTTGGGGCAACACAACAATGAGTAGTTCAGTCCAAGACCCCATCCCCTCGAGAGTTAGATGTAGATACATGAACTATATAAAAAACGTTGGTATCTTGTTATTGGGTGTTGATATCACACACGAGTAATGATGTAATATCAACATTACAATGAATTTTTTTTTTTGGAGGGTAAATTATCGGAAGACAACATACTTGGTGGTAATTTTGTCATTTAGGATATTAAAAAAAATGATGATGAAGCTCTATCCACTTTTAAGCCTATGAACATTTCATTTTTTTTGGGTTACAGGATATTCAGGTTTGCGTCGACTACTTCCTCAAGCTCTGAGCCGACCATTATAATTCAAGCTAGTTTAAAGACATATTCCTTGAAGAACAAGGGTGGCTGACTCTTAAGGGGTGGTGTGAAAAATATCAAACCTAAGACTTCTTATTTACAAGAAAATATACTTAACTGCTAGACCACCTTTAAATATTTCTGAACATTTCACACGGTGAAACATGTGTGTGTGTCTTAATTTTTTGTCAATTCCGTGAACATTTAAGTGCATGCACAAGATTCATAAATATCAACGTTAGATCATTTATCGTAAATTCAAATATAATTCACTATAATTCAGTGAATGTTCTATTCATACATGAGGGATGATAATAATATAAGGAGAATCTAGTATTGTAATAAACCCTAGTATTTTATTTGGATTAAACAATTCATTTACAAGCCCTTGTGCATTTACAATGGGCGGAAAAAATTTCACCTTTGAAAAGAAGAATTGGGTCAACATAGAAAGAGTGACGATAACAATTAGGCCAATGACATTTCTAGTCACAAATGGAAGTCGTTGTAGTTGGGCCTATCACATTAACTCATTAAGGAATGGAGATGGAGAAATTTATTACAATTAATGTCATGTGTCTTAGGTTTTTTTTTTTTTTTTTTTTTCATTAAATGGATATGTA